AAGAGTGTTTGTTTCTGACTTTCCAATCTTCCCAGCTAGAGATGGATGGCTTGGAAATTCACCAATATCCCTCGCCTTTCTTGAGTAATCAGTAGCAGAACCTCACAGATGACTGGCCATTGCCCTGAGACATAAGACGTTTCTTACTGACATCCCTGGTTACTGGGACCTATGACCTTGGCCTTCCTAGCTACTTTTGGGTTTTACTCAAAAAAAAAACTGCATTTATTCAAGGACACATTCCACCCCTCCCCGCCAGACATAAGTATACTTTTGAAACTTATCTTTCTCCTCTCCTACTCTGGAGAGCAAAAAAGTTAAACAACAAAATCCCAGCACTGACAGTTCTGGCCATAGGTCAAATATAATATATCCCAACTGAAAAGTCTCCATTTAATTACCAAAAAGTACATTTGACCAAGTTTCACAATGTTTTGCAAGCATGTCATTTATCATTATATATTTGTAATTTGACATAAAGTAAGAAAACTTTTATTTATTTATTTATTTATTTATTTATTTAGCCATAGGCCCAGGGTGTGTTTGCCAGAGGGAGATAAAGACAGAAAGGGAAAGTGAGAAATCACCCCCCAGGGAGGGTGGCCATGCCACAGTTCCTTCTCTCTCATTCTCCTCCTGGGATCTTGGGCATGCACTCACTCACACACATACACACACACTCTATGCACCCAACATGATTTTCAAGCCACCAGGTCTGGGACTTGAACCGCGGTCAGCCAACTTGGAATCCAATGCCTTAACCACCACACCACCTGCTGGCCTCAAGAAAGCAAACCTTTATGTAATATACAGGTTTTACTTGTGTTGAATACACACATGGGTGATTTTTAGAAAGGAAGAAAGGAAAGGAGAATTTGTGTGTGATGTAGAAAGCAGAGCATCCCTTCTCCTCTTACTATGTGTCTGAAACCTACTTGATACTTTCTGAGTTTATAATCAATCTGAGCAGAATCTAAATCCAACTAGGATGGCCCTGTGCTGTGTTTGTCCATCTGAGGTTCTCGATGTGCAGAGAGTGTTTACAGGAAAGGTTAATTAACACAGCGACGGCCTATATGGAGTATTTTTTAGGCTAAGACCATTTCAATTCAGTTCCCCTAGAAATCAGTTGACTGGAATTCTTGGCTTCCTCCCAAGCAGTTTCTTAAAAAGGTTACCAGCCTAATTGAATGAAATCAGAGTCTGCAACCATCGACAATTATCTATAGAACAATACTTGTTATCAGACTGAATAAAATCAAAGCTAGAAACCAACCACAATTGTGTATGGAGCAGTAATTTTCAATACTGGCCAGTTGGAGCACATGTGAGACTTCTGAAAATATATTTGTTTTTCTCTTTCTTACAGGCACCATACAGATCATCAAGGATACCATCAAGCCTATCTCAAAATGACCTCCATCAATTTCAAAGAAAATCAAAATTAACCTGGAACAAATGAGTTTAAAAAGTTCTAGGGCAGGCTCCTTAGCACAGTGGTTAAGGGCGCTGGATCTAACATGGTCAACCACAAGGTTCAAATCCCCAACCCAATGGCTTAAAAAAGATGCTAAGCTCATGGATACACTTGCCCAAAATCCCGACTGGAAGAGAAGAGACTGCAACCACACCCTCTGGAGGGGTACTTTCTCTGCCTCTTTGGAGAATGCCTGTGCCCTCTAGCAATTAAAAACTTCATGGTTTGAGTCCTGGACCCAAACAAAAAACTCCCCTAAATGGATAAACGTGGCCTGGTTTATCCACAACCGTGACGCAGTCGACATCACACATGTTGTTGTGCAGTCAGTTTTATTTCATGGCGCAGATGTCCCACAGAACTTCAGCACTTGTGTCTCCCTGGCCCTGGAGAGTTTTGATTCATCTGAGAGGCGAGGTCCACTGTTTTGAAATGACATGAGTAACAAAGTCACAATCACATTACCCCGACTCCCTATTAGAGGATGGCGGCACATCACGAGCCATGTAAGGCTTTTTCTGGCACCTTCTGGTAGACAGGCACTCCTTTCAAAGGGGAAAGATGTGAAGTGTTTATACGTCTTTTAAAATTACGGGCTAAAATTATACATTATTCTGAAAAGTCAAAGAGAGCAGCCTTTTCAAGGGTCTTTTTTTTTAGTGTGCTATATATAAAGGCAGCTGCTTTATAATTTATATTTAATGACAGCTAATGTTAAAAGGATTAAGTCATAATCACCAGAAGTTTCCCTCGTTAGGACTAGCCCCCAGTTTTTTTTTTTTACACGCAAAGTGAATGTAAACAGTAGTTTAAATGTTGTAATTCTGGGGAAAATAGCATTACCTTACCTCAAAGCATAATTTCTACTAATTACTATTTTACATATTTTATGATTTCAATTATTTTAATTGAATAATGTTAACAAGGACCAGCTGGGTGGCACAGCAGTCGTGAACTGCTCAAGTGCTGCTGGATCCATGTAGGAGATCTGGGCCTCGGTTCCCTTCCTATAGGCCAGGAGTGCACGTCCACTGATCCCACAGCTGGGAAGGCGGGGGGTGGAGGAGCCAGCAACACGAGACCCTGTTAAGAGTGCCCGTTGGGAACCAGCAGTTAGCGTAATGGCTATGTCGCTGGACTCCCACATAGTTGACCACGGTTGGCGTCCCGGACCCGGTGGCTTAAAACTCACACCGGGCGCGTGTGAGTGTGTGTGAAAAAGATCCCAGGAGGAGAATGGAGGAGAAGGGATTGCGGCGTGACCATCCCCCCTGGGGGGTGATTTCTCGCTTTCTGTCTCTATGTCTGGCAAGTGCATGTGCCCTATAGGGAAAACCTCTCCAAAAAATAAAAAAAAGAGTGCCTGTTGGGGCCAGCTGATAGCATGGGTGTTAAGGTGTTCGATGCCACATGGCTGACTCCACGCTTTGAGTCCCGGACCTAGCAACCTGAAAATAATCACCCATTCTGTGTGCACCCAAAATCCCAAGAGGAGAATGGAAGAGAAGAGACTGCAGCATGGCCCTCCCCCATTCCCTCTCTCTTCGGCAAATGTGCACACCCTATGGCAAAAATCTAATAATAATAAGAAGAATTAAAAAACACTGTATATTATATTTAGGAAATAACACAACTGAAAACAAATCGAGGAGGAATTGTTTCTGCAGTCATTTTACATTTGCATTACTGCATTATTTTTAATTCACCTGCTCATTATCTACCTAGTGACTAAATATATCAAGACGGAACTCAACAGTGTTCAGAAATTGCAAATGTGAAGTGTATATGTGCCCTGGAATGCAAACTCATCTCCATATGAGCAGGCCCTAACATACCTGGGCATTATTTTACAACAGTGCACTATAACTCGGGAGCTGAGAGGCTGTTGGTCGGCCCAAAAGATATTCTAAAAGACGTCACCTGGTCTGACTGAATTACGGCAGCTTATAAGAGCCATGGTGGGTATCAAAGAACAAAAATAAACTGCTTCCAAATTATTCAGAATAAAAATGATAGATCTACTCTGGTGAAAACATGAACCTGTATAAAAGAGAACAAAATTAGAGAGAAAGAACCTAAATTGTTAACTGTTTTTTTTTTTCCTCTTCTTTATTAGAGTAAATACTTTCTTTTTTTTTTTTTGGTGGGGGAGGTTTTTGCTATATGGCGCATGCTCTTGCCAGAAAGACAAGAGAGACAGAAAGTGAGAAATCACCTGCCGGGGGGATGGCCACACCGCAATCCCTTCTCCTCCATTCTCCCCTCGAGATCTTTGACCCGAACACACATGCGCCTGGTGTGAGTTTAAGCCACCGGGTCCGGGACTCAAACTGTGGTCCACTACATGGAAGTCCAGCGACATGGCCGTTACACTAACTGCTGGTCCCTACGGTAAATACTCTTAACACTGACTACGACAGAAAAAAAATATCACTATGACAAAAGCAGGACCCCAAAAAAAGATGATAGTAGGAAAACAGAGAAATGACTTTTAACGAAGTTCAGGTTACCGGCCTGGGTAAGATGCAGCCCAGGTAAGTACAAGAGCTGAGAATGATCACTAACATACTCTTCAGAAAAACGTAAAAAGCATATAAAGAGGATTATGATGATAATAAAAAGAAAGAAAGAAATGAAGAAAGAAATGAAGAAAGAAAGGAAAAAAGAAAGAAAGGAAGGAAGGAAGGAAGGAAGGAAGGAAGGAAGGAAGACGTAAAAGCAAACATTGCTCAGGATTTTTAAAGAGACTGGAGTCTAGAAATAACACACAGTGAGTTTAATACTTTCTTCAGGCAAATTGAAACAGACATAAAACAGAATAGCACCTACAGGGTAAAGGGGGATTCCGGGAAATGTCTTGCCAAACTTTATTTTCTAATTTTGAAAGAGTTACAATTATCAAGGAGAACTCAAGACACCGGCAGACTGAATTTCACGAGGGCTTTTATTATAAAAGAATACACATACATCACAAGTAAGAAAATATCATAACAGAGAGCTGGCTGTATGATCACACCACGTGGAGGGCTGTGAATTATCGATTTATCACAGTTACGGCACTACTGAAAAAATTATAATCCTAATTGTTGTGTACAGACATGCTTGATTCAGTGATGGCCAGCTCATAATGGAATGCTGTTGAAAGGTGGACCTTCTAAACAAGCTGACTCTAAGCCCATCTCTGATTGCCACATTCCCATTTATTCTTTCTCTAACATCCCTAGCTCCCGTGGCTCTAGGTCTAATGAACTTAAATGTCTGAAAGAACAATCTTGTCTTAGCTTCGGACCTTACACCAGTTTCCTTCCGTCTTAGATCTTTTTTCTTTTTTTATAATTCTCATTCTGCATACTGAATTTTAGTCTCTGAGAACACCATTTAGAGAATACTTCTTTTGAAAGATACTTTCCTTGATCTCCCTAACTGGTTTAGATGTCCTTGTAAATACTACATTGTAACAGAATGTTACGCTTTGTATCATACTTCACTGTAATTCTTTCTTCTATGCTTGTCAACCAGCTCTAACCAGAATAAAATTCTCTGGTTTGGAGTGTTTGCCAAGATTCATGGCAAAAATTATCACCACACAACACCATGGCCAATTTCAAAATGCCAAAATCTGTATCGTTAAAAAACACTGTAGTGAGCCAGCAGATCACATAGCGGTGTTGGACTTCCACATGGTTGACCACAGTTTGATTCTTGGACTTGGTGGCTTGAAACTCACAGTAGGCAGGTATGCCTACATGCCCAAGATCCCAGGAGTAGAACGGAGGTGAAGGGATTGTGGTGTGGCCAATTCCCCTAAGGGTGATTTCCCACTTTGCTTCTCACTGTCTCTCTCTCTCTCTCTGGTGAGCTCACTCATCCCGAGGCAAAAGCCTTTACAAATAAATAAATAAATAACAGTGTGGCATCTGATAAGCATGATCACACGGCCAATTAAACAGACATACACACACCATAGGAAATGGATATATTTCTCTTAATACAAATGAAGAATCAACTGTATCAGATTGCAAAACTCCTGAAAAATATCTCTAAATTCAACTGTAGTGGAATGTTTCTGTGTTGAAGTGTAGTCATCCGCTCTGCTAAGCACTTTCCACTTATCTTACTAAATTCTTACAGCCTTCCCAAAATATATATTTATGGATAAGAAAATGAGAATCAGCGATATTAAGTAACTTTTCCCAAAATCACAAAGACTGTCAATGTCAAATGTAAGATTCAAAACCACATTGTCTGACACTAAAGCCTTTGTTCTTACCTTTCCCGACGACTTCTGTCATAAATATATTATACTACAAAGTCTCTACACCTTCCATTATTTATTAACATGTTGAGCAAGCAATGCCCCAAAACAGAACAGACAAAAACGTACACTTTCGGTTCCTGTGTAAACAGCTCTCGGTTAAATGCTTTGGAAGAAGGAAATAATAAAACGTCTATAGTTCGTTTTAGCCTTTAACTAGTCTGTCTATCATCCATTTGATATTAAAAACAACCAATCCCGTCACTGGGTTTCAAATACTCTTCAAATCTTTCATCTTTACAAGTTTATTAATCAAGGAAACTGTCATGGACTATCTGAATCATTTGGCTCTCTCTCGACACTGACCTTGTATGGTTTTTCGTCCCTAGTACGTTTATCATCTGCGTTGACACTCAATCATACATCTCATAAACGCCAATGAAATTTGAAGTTCCTTGATTGTAAGAACCATTTGAAGACTTCTTTGGCAATCCCTGAAGCCTCTAGCACAGTGTTAGATATCAAGTACTTATTCAAATGTTTCCTAAATTGAATCATAAAGTAATGACTTTGGAAATTGTAGAAACGAGGAAATCTAATATGTCACTGGCCTACACCTTGGTAACCTATTTGCGTCTGCATTGATTTGCATCCCTTTACAACAGAATCTCGAAGATTTCTGACGGAAGAGTTTAAGAAAACCAACAAAGGAAAAACAAGGTAAAAGAGAAAGATGTAAAAAGCAAACACTCCCACTTTCTCCCTTCCTCTCCATATTAGTGAGGCAGACATTTCTCAGAGATCTCAGGG